TTCATCATCAGCCTATTCCTGCCCCCACTGTTGAGGCAGATGGAATAGGGAGACTGGCCGTGACCCACCTAGTAGTAGGACCTAGTGCGGACTGATCAGTGCTAAGGACTGCAGATGCAGCTGGGACCAATAGATTGATGTGTCATCTGAAACACGGAGAAGATCGAGATAATAAGTTTTTGGTCACCCATACAATTACCAAAAGTTGCCTAACTTTCATGATTGCAGGACAAATACTCTAAGTGCCTGCATCTCCGGGCTCCTCTTTATTTAGATTGAACGTTTTAAATGTTCTACATAAAAACTAACTATTTAAGAATTAGTTTCTGTGTAGTTCCTATATTTAATATACATACCTACTTAATTCTGAATGATATATAATATAGACCGGCGAGTTGCGTAAACCCCCATTGCAATGAAAATGAAGATAAATTAATAGAAGGGTGATTATTTATAGTAAAACTCATTAAAATAAATATGTAACATTTTTATTCATAAATTATAACAGATGCCTTTGAAACTGTACATTACATTGTTACATTTTTGTCAGAGATGCTCGTCAGCCTATTTGCCAATTTTTATGTTTTTTTTTGTATATAAATAAAGAGAAAATTGAATATTAATCGATGCTTTTCTGAACAAGTATCTGAGTGGTGTTATATAAAGCAGTAGTAGTGGATCACTAAATAGCTCAGTGATTATTACTTCCATCTGTCAAAAGCAGTTGGCGAATAGGCCTACTGTGGTCTGTCTGGTGTGGTCTGCAGGTTGTAGATGTAGCTGGCGCAGTGACCACTTCTCATGAATATAATGTAAGCAGTCTAGCACCGCAACAATAGGCCGTGTGTCATTAGACAAATTTTAACAGAGATCTTTGTTGAGATGGAGGCGAAGCCTGCAAAGGACTTGTTGTGCGTGTTGCTGAAATAAAAAAAATATATATAAGTTGTTGAATAACAACAATAAATGTCACAATTATGATTGGGCCTAGGTCAGAATAAACTTATTAATGATACCTACTCTTTTTTTCTTTTAACACAAACTTTATGATTTTTATAAAAGGAAAGTATTGAGATAAGAAAATAATCAATATTATTACATTCTATTAATACGTACTTGGAGCACTATATTCGGAAATATTCACAACTACAAAATAACAATATGTACGAATCAAATTTTCTCTTATTCTCTTTTTAAATATATAAAAAGAACATAAATAAAAAAAAAAAAAAAAAGAACTATTTTCTAATGTGCCAGTGCCTGCGAGCGAAATGTCCATAGACACTGGCTGTATTGCGACATAGACCAACGTTTGTGCGGTGGAAATAAAATAATAAAATTTTATGCCAGTCAATTTAATGGTGGCTTTTCAAACAAGTGGTTAACATAGTCTTACAAAAGTAAAAACTACTGTAATTTACGTATACTTACAACATTTCGAAGAAATTAGTGCCCTTTTCCTTCTTGTAAGATTAATGGGCGGGCTTGAGATCTATAATGTTTTCTACTCTACATGGTAAAATTATTTTAAAAAAGTATTTTAGACGAACAATTTTTAACCTAGAATAAAGCCCGTCACAGACGTAGCTATAATATATATTAATATTAATCATAGCAAGACATATTACAACATATTTTCAATATAAATTTTCGAGTGACCGCACACGCAGCTATAATATATATTTCTATGACGTCACCAAAATATGTCGACAGATATATTTCGGTATATTACAGTACAGTAGGACCGCAGACCGATTGAGGGCAAAATATATATTATAGTATAGCTCCCGTCTGTGGTAGTTTGCTATAATATAATATATATTTCGATATATTAATATATATTATAGCTACGTCTGTGACGGGCTTAAACCAAGAATAAAAACACAGACCACAGATTACAATATTTTATACAGTAGAGATTATCACATAACGCAAAGGCAATGCGCCGTTCGGCCAAGTTATCAAACTTTAAAAATAAGACAATTTTAAGTTTAAATTCAGTAAAACTTTAGATCTAGGCGTCGTATCTACAAATTTATCTAGAGAATCAATTTAAGTGCATAGAGCAACACGGCCGAAGCGGCCAGGAGGGAAGTAGGCATTCACAGCTTTTCCCTCTGCCGATTTTCCCCCGCAACAGGCCCAGCTCACGAACAAAACTAGTTGCGCTCGGATATTTCTCTAAACTGAATCAAGTCACGTGAGTGTATGTTAGGAGATCAAAAATGCCAAAATGTTCTGTATTTTTTTTTAAACATGTATGGAACATAAAACTAATAATAGGATGGTGTTATATTTCACATATAAGTAGAATTATTAACATAGTGGTGTCGATTCTGGCATGATTCTCTAAACCTAAATTTTAATTTGGCAACATTATATCCTTGTCATTCTCTATACAGAATGAAGAGGAGAGACTGATGTAAAAAAAAGTTTTAAGTTGAGAATCATGCCAGAATCGACACTATTATTTCTATTTTACCACTTTTAAAAACACAATGCTGTCGATTCTGTCGTGATTATCTAAACTTAAAACTAAATTTAACATCAATTTCTCCTTTTCATTCTGTATAAAAAATTACAAGGATACACTGTTGTCAAATTTAGTTTAGATTTAGAGAATCATGCCAGAATCGACACCAATATAAATATTATTTTTTAAAATTCAATCGTCGGACTTGTTTCACAGAACAAAAACCCTGTCAGTACATGTTTTGCATCCGTTATTCATGCCAGACTCGATTTCATTGATTAGATACCTGTCGAAAAAACGACATTAAGTACTATAAGTAGTTTTCGGAACTCTTTAACGGTCCGCGAGTGACTGTCATCCAAGAAATGAATATATGGCGTGACTTATTCGTACACAAAAATATAGATATGTGTGCAGGATTTGGCGATGTATTGTTTATTTTTTTATGCGTGTGTCATAAGTACAGTTTAATTTTTTTTTCGAATGTATATTGGACTGCCTTTGTGTGCATACTCCTCCCCCGCAAAAAGTAGCAGAATGATTTTAATAGTAATATGGATTATGTTCCTACTTCTTTCCGTGTTGCTCTATGAACTATATCGATGTATCACGACCAAAGACACATGCTATACTTATGATCTCGACTTACCGAAATTTCTTAAAATGGTAACACTACAACTCACTTGCGATAAGAATGACATCTCGCTTCACATGGTGGTAATATTTTTTACAGAATGCGAAATTTCCGTAAAGCGATCCGTTGTGTGATGTGAATGCATATCCGCCGCATTCAGTGATAGCCATAGATACAAAACTATGTCATAGATGAATGATCGGTCTCACTTCAAGCGATATCTATGATTATAACTATGTCTATGATTGCAGCAATTGCTGATTCTGTTTTTCATAAAATGGATTAATTTAATTATTCATTAGTGTCGATTCTGGCCTGATTCTCTAAACTTAAACTAAATTTCATCAGAGTATCCTTTTCATTTTATATATTCTTTTGATAATGACAAGGATACACTATTGTCAAATTAAGGTTTAGGTTTAAAGAATCATCCAAGAATCGATTCTAGTATCTATCTATTAAACTTTTAACAGAATGGTACTCCGCGCACTTGGGGCATCGTTCGAAACCTACGGCTATGAGTGGAACTTTTTACCAACGTTTAATGTTGACATAAATTCAACGATATTAAATACCCTAGATACAACATCACGAACAAAATCGTGGCTGAAACCTGTCCTAATGGTAAATTGGACGATACGCGGAGCTCCGTAAGATGATCGCGTAGTCAAAAACAATGTAAGGCATTATTTAAACATTCAAAGTTACATTTAATGCAAAGGTCTTTATTAAAACGCATGCGTCAATGAGTTATGACAGTTCGAAATGCAAGCTCGTAAAATTTTACCACTTATTGCTATACGCGTAAGAATAAAGACCTTATTTCTTTGACTCTACGCACTGAAGATGCGCTATTAGCAGGTACGGACCGCGATGAAAAGAGACAACTATATTACCGATCATGTATTTGAATATCACGTTTTTTTCTATTAAATCAATTTATAGTAAGTATTAGAACATAATTATTTGCTTCAAATGCGTTAAATTTACAAACATTTATTAGATACCTATAAAAAAAGGACACTTTACGTACTATAAGTATTTATTATGCATTTTTTCACGGAGCTTTGCGGCATCTTGATTTTCAACAGTCCGCGCGTAACTGTGAGTCAAGTAGTGCTTGAGTCGTGTTCAAGCACTTCTTGATTGGGACACATTTTGAGCGCACGTGTTGCATCTAGGGTATTTAATATCGTTGCATAAAAAAGTATGAAACTGATGCTACACACTAAGTCACTTTGACATAACAATTCGAGTGCGGATCCGAAAGTGAGTGTAAAATTCGTTACAGAATGCCATTAAACTTCAAATCCTTGAGCATATTGTCAAGCTATATCCTGCGTTAGTTCATTTCACCGCCACTCTCGCCTAGTAGCGCTAGCGTTGATTATCACTTGACTACAGAATGCCAATGATAAAATCCGAAACGGATCCGCGCTCGAAAGTGAAATGTGTCTTTACAGAATGCCACTCCAGGAAGGCAATTATTTAAATGAATTCGCTTTTGTTTTCAGGGCTCCGTACACAAAAAGGTCAATAAATTGACCCCCATTGCTGTCACTTTGTTGTCTGTCTGCCTGTCCGTATGTAACGGCTTTTTAGATAGTTGGAATAAGTTACAGAATTCAAATTGAGTTAATTTTTAAAAAACTAATAAAATTATTTTTCATGGGTGGTTGTTATACAATTTCTTCTTATACCTGAGGATATTATACTGAAGCCTTAAGTCTGACTTGGCTAGTTCTCATAGACACACTTCTTCGATATGCGTATTTGCTATTTGTAAACATCAGTCTGTCTCATTTATTCCTTATAAGGCATAGTAAGGACAGGCTGTTGTCAATTTTACAATAGCAAACACTGCTATAAGAAATAGACAAAAATAAAAACCAGTTACCGAACTACTAAAAGATTTTATTTACTTATTTGACTAATATAAAACTTAAATAACATCCTAGTTTATTTAAATATAATTACTTTACGCAAGGCTTATCATTGTCATCATTAGTAGGTTCATCTGGTTTTATTGAAATTTCAACATCATCTATTTTAGTATTTCTATGCTCGGTTTTCGTTTCTGTATCAGGAGGCATAGCATCACCTCTAATGTTTTTACTACTTCCACCCATCCTTTTCGTAAAACGTGGTGGTTTAAAAGACTTTTCAACATTGTCTTCACTTATTTCTGTGGTAGCAGTACCGTTAGTTAATTTGTTACCGACTTGAATGGGTATTTCAAGCGATAATTTACTGTGTGGCAAAGGAAGAACAGCAGTTATGACAACAGAATAATCTCTTGATACGAATTTGCAAAAATCCAAGGAGTAAACGTCGGGTGGTAAATCAATTTCTACTGTTGATCTCAAAATGTTGCCACTTTTGATGGGCCCCGTTTTTCCTTGGGTGTTTTTTACATCTCCTTTAAACATCATACCACACATATTTGGCACATTGAAAATGTAAATCATAGTTAGTTTAGTTTCGATAGCTTTCACAGTTATGTTACTATCATTTGACACTTCATAAAATATATTCACTTTATCTCCTGGCTCCACAATCGAGTTTTGTATTGAGGCCCTTATAGTGATAATACTTTCGTGTGATTTTATGAGTTTAAACAGTTTCTTGCTTTCGATGTATACTGAAGGAGTCATTAGTAATCTCGGTTGTATTTTTGAGATCATTTTTAGTATTTTACTGAAACGTTTATTTTTATTGATTCCGTCACAAAATTTGAATTCAACACTTACATAATAAACAATATTGCAGTTCACCTTATATTTACGATGACCTCTTACATAGTTTAACGAGGGAGGTATTTTCTCTGGTAATCTAAAGAAGAATTCTTTTTCATAATGTGTAGCATCTATTTGTTTCCCTTTTTCATTACTTTCTACCGTATTTACGATATTAACATAATCTTCTTTATTATAATAATTTTTTTTCTTAGCTTTCTTTCCAATCCCTTCATTTTTTGTTAGAGTTAAACGCCCAACACCTTTCAATGATACAACCATTTGATTAAACTTAACGTTTTCATCTAAATTGTACTTCAGAACTCCAGAAATAGAATCACCAGAATCAAATGATCCTTTCAAGGGTTCATTAACACAAATATCACAACTGACTCCCATTATATAAAGTCACGTAATTTATTCAGACTATTAACTTTGCTCCACAAAGAGTACATACAGAATCACCGTAGTATCTTCGTTACATCTATAATTATCTTATCAACACCTTTTTGTCCACTATCAATAATAAGAAATAAGATAAACAAAGATATTCAACTGCACAAATGTCTTATCTTTGCCTAAAGAATTGAATAATAGCTAAAAAATTATAAGACGGTTCTTACTAGCCACTAGTATTATTTTATTATACGATCTCTTCCGTGACCAAGTGGTGTGTATGCCGGGTTTCATGGTGTCACCGACTCGAGAGCTCCCTGGTTCGAATCCCGGTGGGGGCAGACGTTTGTGTGATGAATACGAGCATTTGTACTCGTCATGGTTGTTCAATATTTATTTCTATATAAATATACATACTTATATGTGTAACAGTATACATATTCTAACCGTCACCCTAGCATCTAATGACACAAGCCTACGGTGCTTACTTTGGGGCTAGGCTAATTGGTGTGTGTCCTCATTAGAGGGTAGCCATCGACTACATGTATGAACAAAGCAATATTTCTTATTACAACTGTAATGTTCTGCTATGATCCTACGATAAGTTCCGTTCCACATTTCCAAAGTCCTTGATCAGATCATTTCAATTTTTCTCCTTGGGAAAGATCCTTTCTCGGGAGTATACTCTTGCGATGAAAAAATTCATTTTGAAAATCAGCCCTTTTGAATGACTTCCGATAAAAGGATGCAATCGATTTGTTCCACAGCATTGCTTTATATAGATTTTTAGGCGTTATTTGTTACATAATTTAGTTTTTCTTTTTCTCAAAAACCTTATAATCAATTTTGATGAAATTCATATGAGATACCACCTCGGCAGTATATATATAATATATATTGTAATAGTTTTGTTATTTAATGGGTATTGGTCATTTTTCATAACAGTAGGTAATATGTATGGTATCTAAAGCCGCTTCCTATATAGGTACTAAACTAGCTGACCCAGCGAACTTCGTATCGCCATAAAAATATGGGTGGTAGAGGGGTGAAAATTAAGGGTTGTTTGTGTTTTTAATATTACGATACATATTTAACGTATCTAGTTTTTTTTCTTCAGACGATTTAATAATTATTTTGAACACAAAATCGGTTATTGTGATTAAACCATGATAGCTAGATATATGTTCTCGCGGACTTTTTTGTAGGTCGTAATGGGATCTACAAACTCGTAGTACATCATTTTGTTTTATTGTCAATAGTTTTTGCAGCGCACGCAAAAATAGGTTTTCGATTTTACACCTTGTGTTACAAAATAGCAATTTTATTACGGATCCCTAATTTTTTAAAAAAATATAACCTATAGCCTTCCTCGATAAATGGACTACCCGACACTGAGAGAATCATTCAAATCGGACCAGTTGTTCCAGAGATTAGCGCGTTCAAACAAACAAACAAACTCTGCAGCTTTATAATATTAGTATAGATACGTATATATAGTATATAGATATAACATTTATTGTAACCATATCTATATTCTAAATTATTATGTAATGGAAGGTGACTCCAGAAGTACTATGAGGTAATTTAAGTAACAACTTGACGACTATGCATACAACAATACAGGGAGAAAAAAACAGCCCTTGCTGAGTTTCTTGCCGGTTCTTCTCAGTACAAGGTCTCCCGCCGTAGTTTTCCGAACCGATGGCGTAGCTCTTCTTGACCTTCACAAGTGCTTGTAACAGCCTAGACTGAATAAATGATTACCTTTGATATTTGACTTGGCTTCAAACGGTGGCAATACTTTCACTTTATTTAAGTTTGAGTGATTATTTTAGTAAGTATCCAAGTACTTACCTTGGGAGCAGTGTAATTCATGAATTTATGTGATATTTACCAATATTATTATTAAATCATTTTATTCTCGACTGTCTTACCACGCTTGAGTATTTTACTATCATTTCAATAAACCGCAATATACTTACAGACAACTTGACGACTCTATTGTAAATAATTAAAATTAAAAATAATTAATTAAATTAAAATTAAACTAGATAATAACACGGAAAACATGTAAGGAGTTTTTTTCTAAAAAAAAATGGAAATTTGAGAATAGAAATGATTTAATTTTTCGTGATTTTGCGACCAATTACATAACTCACATCTGTCGTGTGATTTAGAAATGGAACTTTCTTTTATTCCAAAATATGGCAACCTAGGAGGTAAAATATCAAAGATAATATTTAAATTTCGAACTAGCTTGCAAACAGAAAGCTGTTAAAAAAAATAACACACACAACGCGAGAAAAATATTATTGTAGGTAAGTACGTCATGAATTTTGAGAAAGTAATTATTTAGTTTTAATTTCCGCGCATTATTTGAAAAAGTACTATACAAGCCTTGGCCAGAACTAGGACTTACAACTGCGTACATTTACCAACGATAGTATAGTACGCGTTATGAAAAAATGATGAGAGTGAAATTTTAAGATGCGCGCGCATCACTGTAACACAAAATTTTAACAGCATAAAGCGACCAACTTCTTGCGTTACTTTTGTGTTTACCGCACATTAAGAAAATCTACCAACAAAATAGAAATAGAATCTCTATTTAGTGGGTGCTAACGACTGCATTGTGAAGGCCTATCAAAAGTATTTATTAATCTGGAACAACGGAACCAAAGCGCGATTCAGGAAACTACAGCGCCATCTCTTGACCATTGGTGTAGTAGAACCAAAAACCACATCTTTATTTTTTGTAATAAAGTAACAGTTATAGGTATTCATATTTATCCACATGTTTCTAGTTTGTATATTCGGAATACGTGTTTGAGTTTCATACAAGTGCAAATCACATATGTTCTAATAAATTATATTCAGTAGCGATTTTAATTGAATATTTTGATTATTTATTTATTTTTTCAAATTAAAACTGAACTTTATTGACTGTGTCCTTTTCCAGACTTTTTATTAATTTATTGTAATTAATTTATTTGCATGAAATTAAAAACTAATTTTAAACGATGCCAAAGAAGGATAACTTCTCACGCGCCTACATAAGTACACGCACCCATTTTTTTAATTATCTGCATATCTATTTCAAATACATTGATATTTTTTTTTCAATTAATTGTTTGACTCTAACATTACTAAAAAAAATTGGTCGACACCTTTTATTTGCCCGGATCTAACTGTCGACTTAGTTTGAAGAATTAAAGAGCCTATGCTTATACATTTTATCTCTATGTATGTTTCATTATTCAATTATCTGCATATCTTGTCTAAATACATTGATAATCTTTTTTTTAATTAATTCTTTGACTCTAACATTACTAAAAAAATTGGTCGACACCTTTCTTTTACCCACATCCAACTGTTGACATAGTTTAAAAAATCAATGAGCTCTAACTCATAAGTTCCATGTCTATACATGTTCAATTATCTACATATTTTTTCTAAATACATTAATAATCTTTTTTTTTTTTCAATTAATGCTAACATAACTACAATTTTTTTGAAATACTTACTGTACCTTTGTTCTGTATTCTGAGGTTACAGGTACAAAAGAAGAAACGTTAACGGCTACCTGAACTTAAGGTAGAAATACAAAGTACATTCTTAAGGACTTAAATTTTAACAAGAAATAGAAAAATGTACAGTAAGTATTTCAAAAAAAATGTAGTTATGTTAGCATTAATTGAAAAATGTATTTAATTAAAAGTTGGGAAAAAATAAAAACGTATTTTATTTTAAAGGCACTTCGAAATCGTTTATTATTTGGTTTATAGAATATTACTAATAATTTGTTACATTATAAATAGTACAACAAATAACAAAATAAAACGTAGAATAATATAATATACCTATATAAGTATGGAAAAATATATCCAAATAATTCTTTCTAGATCGGTCTCCGGCACAAGATTTTTGTACACCGTGAATTTTGAGTTGCCAATCCAACGTTAATATTTAATATTGTTGTGCCAATCTGAGAACATTTTACTAGCGAAGTCAGAACCCATTCAATCTTAATATATTTCCGCAAAAAAAACTCTTATTATTTTGTTTCGATAGTGTCTCCACCACTAATTGCGCAATTAAGAAACCTTAACAATTTAAGTAGTCATAAATCGATATAATTAAAAACACTTTAAAGAGCTATGTAATTTAAATAGATAATAATTCCACAATAGGTTATGGTAAATACAAATGTGCGCCGTTTATACGATGTTTTATAAACGTTATAAATTAATATTTTTCTTTAGCTATTAATAACTGTTTTTATTATTTTTATTTATAAGATTTTTAAGTTGCTCATGTCACTCAAAATTCACGGTGTATTATCTAACAATTGTAATGTACGGCTAAAGTTTGTAGGTTCTTGGGCTATTTTCGGCACTGTTTTTATCGTATAACTGCTGTACCAGCTATCTTCGCGTTTGGACTTTATCACCACTTAACATCAGGTGGGGTGCAGTCATTTGGCTACCGGGCTAAATAAAAAAAAAATGTAGAAATTATGTCAGTTAGGCTGTTTTTAGAGCCAATTTTTATTAAATTAGTCTTATTAAATATATTGTACTTTTATGCGTTAAAAATAATAAATACATGAGTCATAATACCAAAACCAGTTATCTTGCTGTATTTGATATCAAAAATTTATATATAACTGCCAAAATACCACCCAAATTATATATAATTTTGGTTGGTCATTAGTTCCACAAAACCTCAGCCAAGACCAAAGACATTGTTTTATACATACTAACGAATGGCCGTACTCGACATGTCAAATAAATTTAATGTCATTTAAATTTTCAAAGTGAAAGATGAAAGAAAATATTCTTATTCGATTGTTTTAATAAAGAAAATGGCAGCAATGCCTTTAAATCGATTCAAATTCAAACTTACAAGTTATTTGACATATCCAGGGGCACTATTTAACGAGTCGGCCAACAAATGCCCTTCAGCACAATGAGACGAAAACAGTCACGTAATTTTTATACAAGCAATCACTACTAAGAAAATGAACAATAACTCTAGTGTAGCTGTCAGCTATGAGTCAATTTCAAATTCGTAGAAAAAAGTAATAATACGCCAAATGGTGTCTAAGTAAAGTACTTGGATACAAATCCTGGATCAAAAAGCAGAAATCTAAATCATATTCGGGGCTCGACGAATTTATACTTTTTAGTAAACGTCGAATAAGCCAATACAAATACCTCAAGACAATACAAGAGTATGGATTTCGTAAAACTTTACTCTTTTCTATAGCTAAGGGAGTACAAACAAAGACGGAACGAAATTATATTATAGGTACTTTATACAAATTGACTTATTGAAAGTTTGAATGGCCCAATATTTAAAGTTAATATGGAGAATGACCGCAAAAAACTTATAAGCATTTAACAGAAGTAGCAACATTTACATAAAATCAAGTTGCTCCCGATACAATTTATTAGGTACATTAATTAAAATTTAATATAGATGGTGTATTCTTAAATTTGCATAAGGATCATATTACAGCAAAAAATCTCCAGGTACTCAAGTGTTTTTAGACGTTGTATTTCGAAAAAAACCTTACAAAAACTAATAAATTTAACGACATATTATAATTTCAAAATCTACCAATCAAAAATCAAAATGAATAAAAAGGTATAAATTGGGAAATATTGGCATTCAAAATTGCGTGTTATAAAATTTTGAATGCCAATTTTTGCCAATCTTCCCAGAGAAATATAGCTGCAGTTAGTTTTTCCTACAATGAGACTGGCCGTGCGGCAGAAAACACAATATTATTATTATGACATTTTTTGGAAATTCTTCTATAAAATTTGAGCGTTTAACACGGCTCAGATACAGCAATGATTCTCTGAATCAAAAATTAAATTTGATAACAGTGTATCCCTTTCATGCTCTATATACTGAATAAATAAGTGAGACTGTAATGTTGTCAATTTAATTTTAAGTTTAGAAATCATGGCAAATATTTATTCTGAATGTCACGCTGTGCGCGCGCCCAAGGCTTATCCTATCATCATGTCGACACAGTTGAATATATAAATTAACTTTAGAACAATAGATCGTGTCTATTATATTATCATTAGTTTAATCTATTATGGACAAACCTTGTTTTAAATTATCCGTTCAATTATTCAACATTTCACTTTTCAACAGGTTTCAAATGTGATTTTTAATACTTTTTTTATATATTTCGCTACTTTTCGGATCCTTTAGTCTCCTTTCACATGCTTTAAAGGATGCAAAACGTCGAGAAATGCATAAAATTATCAAAAAGGACATTTGAAATCCGTTGGAAAAAGTGTTTTATTTGATGAGAGGTGTGCGTAAAAACATAAGACATAAATATTTAGCATAATAAGTTACATGTTTGTTCTTTTATGACTTAAAGGACATTTCACATACATACAATGACAATATTAATAAGTCAGAAAATCAATAAAACATTACAAAAATACCAACATTCATTATTTAAACATAAATGCTCCGATTGAACTCAATCGTTTCTTGTGCAATACAACCCACGTCCGTAAATTTTGCAGCCAAGTGCATAAAACACCGAAACACAGCCGCCGTCCTAAATAAAATAAATTATTGTGACGACTACACAAATTACATCAGACATTTAACAACATTGAAATTGTATAAGTAATTAAATCGTTTCAATTCAAGACTTTTCGCCATCTGACTCATCATCGCCTTCGTCTTCATTTTCTTCCTGGCCTTCTTTCTTCTGGTCTTCAGCCATTACTTCCCAGTAAGATGGGGGTGGGTCGTCCACAGTTTCTTGACTAGGGTCATTTCTATCACCAATCTGAAGAGGCACTTCCAACTCAGCATTCGTATGTGGAAACGGTATTATAGCAGTTATATAAACAAAGTAATCTCTAGACACTAGATTAGAATACTCCAGTGACCCTAGTTCAGACGGCACATTAATAGCGATATCCATATTCTGCGATTCACCGCTACTAATTGAACCAGTCTTAGTATCTGTGTTCTCTATATCTTTAGATAATCTCACCTTCCTGTGTCCTTTAGTTGTGAACGTGTAAATCTCGACCAGTTTCGTCTCGACACCTTTTAGATTCAAATTCGTGTGGTTGAAAATCTCGTAATTTATATTAATACGACCGCCGAGGTCAATTACACAATTCTCTATGTTGGCCTTTATGTTCACAACGTTCGGTTTCCGGGAAAATAATTGAAACAGTGTCTTTTGTTCCCCGTATATCGTTGGTTCCATTGGTAGTCTAGGTTTTATGACTGTTGCAACCGTGATTTCTTTCTTAAACTTTTTGGCAAATTGAAATAGGCCGGGTCTGTGAAACTTTATGGATATATAATATGTGATTACACATCTTACCCTGTATCTAGCGTTTCTTCTTAGATAGTTCAGGGAAGCCGGTATACTGTGAGGCAATGTAAAGTTGAAGGGGAACTCATACAAACCGACTGGTAGGGGCGGTGCTTTGTCGTCATTATGAACGATATTCTCAATATCAACGTATTCTTCCGAATTTCTGTATATGTACATATTTTGCCGCCTCTTCCTCGTTTGATCTCGTATAACTAGTCTGCCATTACCTTTTAAAGAGACATCTATCTTGTTGAAAACTGTTTCTTCGTCTACAGCATATTTAATGATGCCACTTACTGTGCTGCCAGGGATGAATACACCATCGGACGGTTTGAAAAGATTGATTTCACAATGCACACCCATGTCTCTCGATTAACAATATTTACCGCAGGAATGTGAGTCGCTAATTAAAACACAGCAGTGACCTAATAATATCGTGCAGATACAACAGGTTATTTAGGGCGTTGCCATTCCACAGTTATATCTATTGTTCAACTAATAACGCACATTCACAATAATCACATATCCTTGCTCGGCTATTAGAAATTTCGTAACTATTGTCGAAATATAGATTATTTTGTCTTATCACTTCACAAACACCGTACAGGGCTGAGTAGTTTCAATGCTGGTATGCAGTAATCGTTTTAATTCACTTTGATGTATGCACGTTCACAATATGACATCAGCAAATGCTTATTTGTTTTCGATATGCAACAATGAATGCGCAAAATGAGATTTATCTAAGCTTGAGATTTTGTTGTTTTTCGAACATAAAATAACACGCGCGTGTGACGTGACGCGCTGACAGGCGGTGACTAACTAACAAGCACAGAGTACGCGCATTGGTATACAAACATACCTCTATGATACAAACAGTGCGGAGTGCGGTTAATGTAGTCTCAAGTCTGTGGGAAGCTTACCTACTCTGGTGCGACAAGGAATTTTGTGAATGTGGCGAAAATTGGAACTAATACCGCCGTCTTTGTAAACGGTAATTTGATTTACGTAGACAAGTGGCGCCCTCCCTGAACCGTCACTCGCATTCGTGATCCTTGTCCCACTCGCACTACCTATTTGCATAGAAAAGATGTCGATATCGTATTGTACTTACGTCCGAATTAGTATTTTGTTCATACAGCCCAAGTTTATACAGCCATGGCCGGTCCTGCTTAAAAATAAACTCGTTCATGAATATAAAATAGTTTACCGATATAACCTTGGAATTATGTAGTAGGTTGAATTAACGAGCACTTTTTTTTTATTGCTAGTAAACAGGTCCCTGTTTTGTTTATGCTAAGTTAGGTGGATATTATTTTATAGTTCGTTCTCAAAGTTGAGTTCGTATTAAAAGGTTTATAAATCCAATCATTCCATAGTTGCAATGTTAAGTTATTAAAACAAAATATATTTTTGACTAGTGGCCCGATCTCGCTTCGCTTCGGTGTAGAGCTGTAGTGTAAACTATAGTTTTTGTTCTCAGGCTTGTGCTATAAACAATGACTTTATTTATATAGTTACACGTGTTATTGTGAGTCAACCATAAAAGATAGGCATATGCTGTTGCGGGATATTTTTTAGGCAATTTTATGTACAATATTTCCTTCAACCATGATTTCTATGTAACTTTAACAATTAAGGCTGCACACTCGACGGAATCTTAAAAAATGGAGTAACTTCTCCCGTTTACCCAACATTTCCCTTCACTACTCTGCTCCTATTGATTGTAGCGTGACGAAAAGTATACTATAACCTGCCCAGGAGTATGAAGAATAATTGTAGCAAGTTTCGTTAAAATCCGTCGAGTAGCTTTTGTTTCTATAAGGAAAATACATACAGACAGACAGACAGACAGACAAAAATTTTACTGATTGCAGTTTTGGCATCAGTTCGATCACTAATCACTCCCAGATAGTTATTTTGAAAATATATTTCATGTACAGAATTGACCTCTCTACAGATCTTAATATATATAAATCTCGTGTCACAATGTTTGTCCTCAATGGACTCCTAAACTCTCTATTAGTAAGTTTAAAAATATTTTTTACGTTGCTACTAGCAACTTTTAATAAATAATTTGCGGGTACTGTAGTTTTTTTCCGCAATGGGAAAGGTCATGATACAAAGGCATACAGCCATCAAAATATTATTGCATTAGCTAAGGGCAACATATTCATACTTTCTGTCCGTTTTACGGAAAATTTCTTCCTATCAACCTCTTTTTGTATATTTTATGTAAAATTAATCCGCAAGTAATCGAATCACATTAAATAAAGTATTTCCGCGTACTTTATTGTTGGCATAAAGTATAGAGTACAATTACCCGAAATAACGTACAATACTTTATATTAAAGTACGGGTGGCAACCCTACCCCTGAACCACATGTGGCTCAACTCCATCCGTTTGGTACAATCAGTATTACATTAACTATAGCATCAAATTACTCCAAATTGAATGTTTAACCTTAAATTGTTTGATATAAGATTCTAATTCAATTGCTCAGAAATTGAAATTTGTGATAAGATTGTTGTGCGGTTCATTGTGCCTAATGTAACCATTTTAATATGCATTGCATACTCTGTCCTTCCTCACAATCTGAACTCAAATCCATGAACTTGATTCCAACTCCACTATTTGGTGTGTATGATATAATCTTGTGATCGCATATACAAACATTCTCGATTAAATTTCACAAGCCAAGGGTCAATTTATGAACCAACAAGAACAAACAAACTTAAATAGATCTGAGTTACTGTTCACTTTTTCGGTTGGCACGGATGTCCGGGATTGTCCCGGAATTTCGCGTGCTGCCCCGTGTCCTGTCATCATCATCAGCCTATTAATGTCCCCACTGCTGGGGCACAGGCCCTCTCTATGGATGGAATAGGGAGATTGGGCCATGACCCACCACGCGGGCCCAGTGCGGATTGTTGGGTGCTAACGACTGCAATGCAGCCGGGACCAACGGCTTAACGTGCCTTCCGAAGCACGGAGGGCCTCGAGATAGTAAATGTTTGGTCACCCATCCAATGACCGACCACTGATAAAAGTTGCTTAACTTCAACGATCGCAGCCGAACGCGCTAACCACTTACGCCATCGAGCTCCTGTAATAAGACCTTATTGTCCCAGATTCCGATAATGGGCTAGTTTCGTAACGAAATAAACTAATAACGAATTACATGCTTGATGTTTTAATGGGGGGTTTGATGCTTTATTTTTTCAGGGGGGGGGGGGGGGTGCAAATGCTTTGGAATTGATAAGCCAGCATCTGGCAAACACCTGCTTGATGTTTTGAATTCTGAGGGGTAATAGGGGGTTTCGTTTAATGCTTTATTTTTTCAGGGATGCAAATGTCCCGGAATGTCTACAGCGGGAGACCTTGTACCAAGAAAAACCGGCAAGAAACTCAGCAAGGGCTATTTTTTTCTCCCTGTTTTGTGTCATAAAAATATGTTTTGATCACATTAATATTATTAATTAACAATAAGTAAAATATAACTAACAATTTCCAACCAAATTAGCAAAGTAAAACGACTGAGTCTATTGTGACTTGTATATTGTGTGCGCGTCATCTTCATTAAAAACACACTAGAAAATGAACAATAAAATCTTTTTGTATTATTTCACTTCAATCTAAAATACCCTTAAACTAAAATTGACAATACACATATTTGAATTCGGTGCCAGCTAACCCAGGTAGTAAACGGCCCTTATTCTATTGTTTCTTCATGGCATGACACCAACTCCAAAAAAAACTGTTACAAAATCTCGCCAATCTATAGTCCGCTCTGAACACTGCACAATCGCGTCGCAGCAACAAGACACCTAAATAGAAGGAAGAAAAGATTGACTTCAGAGCAGACTAGAAGTTTGACGTGATCTGTAATTTTACTTTAAATGTACCTTAGATTTAAGTAAAACATTAGATAATTTTATTCAGAACCCAAGATACTAATATGCTTATATACTAACTAATATACTATTAACTACTTTGATTATTTATCAAACACTAACTAATAGGTATAATTAAAAATATACTAATCATGACTGTATGGATGTTAAGCTTTTACGCGTTACTAACCCAAATTCAAGTTAACTAATATATATATATATATATATATATATATAGAGGTTTGGTATGCGCTAACAGAAACCACAGCAGCGGATGATAAACGTCTAAGATGATGAACTCAACATTTTAACTTATTTTGAGGCTTTACCGATTTTATATTAGTTTGTGTTAAATAATTTGAAATAAAATGTTAAATTTAATTACTTTTCTTTCATTTAAAAGGCTATGTTACTTAGCAAAAAAATATCCTTATGATTAACCCTTTCGATGGTTATCATAAAATATGTTGTTTTTTTTCTTCTAAATCTCACGAGTTTGATTCCTAGTTATAGCAGGTGATTTTAAATAAATCAGTGAATGCACTTCTAGTTATTATTAAAAATAAAATGATGTCTTCTTTAAGAAAAATATCCTATCTTCAATATTTAATATACTTCCCCTCCGTGTGAGGTAGCCGTGGGACGCCCTGTATAACCAAAATTCATTAAAATTGGTTCAATGGATTATGCATGAAAGCTGTCACGACAGACTAACTTACCTATGCATTTAAGTTTAATATGAACAATATTGTTTAAATGAGTTCAGGTTAGCGTAGAAAATATTAAGCTATAAAAGTTAAGTTTAGCCGTCGACAGATGCTGACGTGCTCAGCTCCGTCGTAAAATCTGTATCATCTGATTTTAATGGCACCTATTAATTTTATGTGACCGAAAATACTCTCAAGGAAACCCTCCAGGGTATGTTTGGCCAAGGGTTAGAATGTCCAAGGTGACATAATTTCCGGATATTATAAAGACCGTTAGTCAATATGTACAAGTATCTAAATGTCGAAGAAGTCATAATGTCTAGATGTTATAAAAACCGTCAGTCAATGTGTACAAGTCTCTGAATGTCCAAGAAGTCATAAAGTCCAGATGTTATAAAGACCGTTAGTCAATATGTACAAGTCTCTGAGTGTCCAAGAAGTCATAATGTCCAGAAGTTATAAAGACCGTTAGTCAATATGTACAAGTCTCTGAATGTCCAAGAAGTCATAATGTCCAGATGTTGTAAAGACCGTTAGTCAATATGTACAACTCCCTGAATGTCCAAGAAGTCATAATGTCCAGATGTTATAAAGACCGTTAATACGCTCCATCTGCTTCTTGTTCTGTAATCTGAGCCTGATGGATTCTTAAAAAACTAAAGTTTTTTTTTCTTTATAACTCACCCCAATTAGCCTAGCCCCAAAGTAAGCACTATAAGGCTTGTGCTATGGGATACTAGGGTAACGGATAGAATACATATACTATACATGTATAAGTATAATTAAATAGAAATACATATTTAAACATCCATGACTGGAGTACAAATGCTCGTATTCATCACACAAACATCTGCCCCCACCGGGATTCGAACCCGGGACCTCTCGAGTCGGCGACGCCATGAAACCCGGCGTATAAACCACTCGGCCAAGGAGGTCGGCAAAGTTGACACGGCTGAAGCTGAAGGCGGCCCCTAGTTAACCAATAATATTAAGCCCTGTTCTTAAAATATGGCAATATTATCAGAACTGGGCTTAAAATGTCAACAGGCACTCAACACGTCCTCGGGTCATCATAACAAATTCCAGTTCGCAAACACAAAATGACTGTACCGGGCCGAATGCAAATAGGGACGAACCGAATTAATATTTCATACAGACTGGATTCAATTCATATTGAAACGAAGCCTTCTAGGGAATCGCTGGAGTTAACATT